CAACACTCGAGTTTTTGGAAGGTCAGAGTTTCACCATGGTGCTAGCTAGACAGTTTGAGTTTGAGTGTAGGAAGATGACCCTCAAAGAGATGGCTCGACACAGTGACTTCAGCGATGGGGTCAGTCACAAGCAGGGACTAGGGGTACCGCCGAGTCGGCCGCAGTCCCTCTCTGGTCTCCATGAATTGGAACCAGCTCGACAGAACCTAACAACTTTGCCAAACATGAGGTCTTTTCCCCTAGCAATTGATCTTGTATACCATAAAATCCACTCATTTGAAGTGACTTCTATACATTCACTAAAAACCAGGGAGTTTATATATAGAATTCACTAAAAAACCTGGTTTTTAGTGAATGTATAGAATTGGACAACTATCCAAAGCCGGAAAGCAGACCCGTTGCCGTCAAATCCGTTATAACTCTTAGCGACTGTACAGAACAGAGCAGAGCTACCTCGCAGGGTTTCTGCTGTGAGATGTCTTTCCGGCCATGGCAGCCACGTCCTTCTCCTGGACAGAGACTGCCGAGTTCAGAACCCTGCAGCTGGTAGGAAGTTACTTCACCTCTGCACTATTAGGGCTTCTTTTTGCCCCTGTCAGAAAATCCTGTTTTGGAATATGTTCACCAGCTTACAGATAGTTTTCATAACAGTGTTTCTTCAGGAACAGCCTTTGGAACCCTGACTCTGATCACTTGGGGCAGATTTGGAATCTCTAGGAGGAATGTTGAGGTCTTTGAGTTTCTGTTTTAAATCATTATTTTGGTTGTGGGGAAGGCTTGCTTAGTGTCTTAGGTTCTCTTTCAACAATCCCTGCACAGTTGTTCAGTGACATTGGTTATGCTTTTCACAATGCATGGAGCATTCATGTTACTTCTAGTCTGGTTGTTCTGTTTCCGTTAATCTAGTTCCCCTGCTGCTTTACATGCTCATTTTGAAGTAATTGTTAACAGTTTGGTCTTCATTATTTTGTAAGCCAGTCTATTACTACAGAGCAACCTTATGGGTTAGTTTTGATTTAAGGTTGAAGCGGTAGGATTGAGGATGTGCTAATTTCAATTAATCTGGTTCTTCTGGTTTGGGTTTTGTTGTTGGGGTCGGTTGGTTGTTTTGGTGGTTGGGTTTTTTTTGTTGTTGTTGTTTTAAGTTAAAGCTCTAGTCCACCTTTTTCTCTTAGCCTGTTGGCGTCCACACATCCAGTTTTCATAAAGGGGCGAAAATATTGAGAGTACTACAGCCTTTGAGAATAGCTGCTGCATCTGTTGTTGTTATGTGCTGTTGAGTCAGAACCAGTTCACAGCCGACTGTCCTGCAGGTTTTCAGGCTGTAGATTGTGCAGGGAAACTGCCTTACCTTTCTCCGGAGAAGCAGCTGGAAGGTTTGAACCATTTGCCTTTGGGTTAGCAACGCAACTCCTTTGCCCACAAGGCCACCAGAGCTCCCTGCTCTGTCTGTGGTTGGCTCTTATATTTCAGATCTTTGCTTTTTAAGTCCATAGACTCCAAAGCTGAGCTGGGAGGTTGGCTCCCCAGAAGCACAGAAAGAGATTAGACTTGCTGTTTGCATTTCATATTCACCCCTAAAAGGGACAAGAAATGTAAATCTTACTCATACCAAGCACTGCGATTGACCTGGGACCCTGACTGGAGAGGTCAGACGTGTGGTGGACAAGGGTGGTCCTGCCAGTGTCCCGTGGAGAAGTCGCCGTTCTGTGATTGTTTCTTTGCCCAGCGTCCATGACGATAATGCAGCTCGTGAATGCTCAGGTGACCAGTGTCAGCCATGCTGTTTAACTAACCCAGGCCTCGTAAAGAGGACAGGTAGCTGTAAAAGATTCCGGCGGGAAGACCTGACAGGTTATTATTAACACAACAAGCCCAAGTAAACAATGAGAAAAACACATCATGAGATAAAACCAGGCCGGCCCAAGTTTATGTCATCGTTTCCTTCCTGGCTTGTTTAATTATTAATTCATTCAGTGTCTTTGGTTACCTTTTAAAAAATTTGGAATAAAATTCAGCCAGCATGTGGTGCCTTGGGTCAGTGAATTGTAGTGTATCTAAAAAGTTGGACAACCGCCCCCGCAATCTAATCTTAGCACACTGCACCCCTGCCTCCCAGTGACTCTTAGCCAGCTGTCATCGAGCTAATTCTGGCTCCTGTAACGGGGCAGAACTGAGTCCCGTGAGGATCCCCATGGTTGACTTGTGTAACCATTCCTGTAACACAGCTCGGAGCGCATGCTGGGAAATAGCCCTACCTCAAGTCATTCTTGGGAAACAGAGGCCTGGGCTTCAAGGAGCCCACAGCTTATTTGTAGACCCCTGTGCTGTGGGAGAGGAACTCTGGTGGGGCAGTGGGTTAAGCATTGGCTTGAGCATGGATAGGTGGGAAGTTCAAACCCAGCCAGCCACTTCGTGGGAGATTGGAAGAGTCTGTTTCTGTAAAGGTTTACAGCCTTGGCAACTCTGTGAGGCATTCTGCTGTGTCCTCCAAGGTCGGAACTGACTCACCAGCAGTGGGTGTATGTGCTCGTGGATGACTCTGGAGTATCCTGTGAGACTGGATTTGAGGTCCTTTGTGAATAGAGAGCTTAATTCCCCCTCCAAACACTGACCTGCTCCTGCTTCTGAAATCTCAGCTCTCTCCTGGCCTCCTGTTGGAGAGCTGCTTTGTCCTCCCCCAGAGAGAGCAGCGGTGCTTTTCTCCCCCTGGGCAGGAGGGGCTGTAACCGGCTTCTGTGGCTCCCACATCTGTTTTTGTTTTCCCCTGGTATTTTTTAAGTAAGAAGAAATGTGCGTAGGTTAAAGGGCCTACTGGGAAGACGCTGGAGATAAACGCTGTGCACCATGAAACTCTTCCATATGGGGGATGCGAGGAGCGGGCCTGGGCACCAGCCTCGCCTGGCCCAGTCAGTGGTCATCGGCGCTGTGCTGGGATGTGAGGATCAGCCTCTGTGGGCACAGGAGTCTGTTATTTGGAAATTAAAAGACAGCATTTCCACATCAGTGGCTGTGACTGCCCTCCCCAAGACAGCTCAGTGTGTAAGAGTGAAAGAAACGTTCATTTGTGAGCAAAATAAATGAACATAGAGACGTCAGAGCGGTCAGCAGCCTGTGGTGCAGACTGGGCCCCTCATGTCTTCTGACCTGTTACCCAGGGGTCTGGCTTTCTGTTTCCCTGCTGTTGTTGTGAGTTGCCGTGAGTTGACTCTGACTGTCGCGGCCACATGTACCCCGTATGGCATGTGCATGGGCCCTGTGCCCTCTTCATGAGGGTTGGATTGGTGGGGTCCGTTATTCCAGCCATTGAGTGTTGTGAGGGCTTTTCCCAACTTGGGGAACCCATCTTCCAGCTTGCACAGGGTTTCCACAGATTTGTTTTTGGAAGTGGATTGACAGGCCTTTCTTCTTAGTCCCTGTGAGCCTGGAAGCTCCGTGGAAACCCTGAGTAACCCCACAGGTTTTTAATTCTGATGACATGGCCTCCAACATCACAACAACATGCAGGCCACACCAGCACGGCAGATGAACGGACAGGAGGGGACATTTCCCTGACTTTGCCTCTTTGCCTTGCTCTGGGCTGCCTCACTTGGAACAGGAAAGCCTCTCTTGGTTGTCCTCCACTTGAAATATTATGTGGAAGCATTTGACTTCTGTTGACATGAAATTAAACTGCTCACAAAGGAGTTTGTCAGGGATGCCCTTCACTGAGCCTGTGGCATTTCATTCAAGCCCAGCGTTACTAACGCTTGCCCACCAAAGCAATTACTCTGTCAGAGGTCTTGTTATGGACTCTAATGGTAAGTCATAATTTGGTCCAGGTGTCGGGGTATGGGGGTGAAAGCAGAGACAGACATCCTCAGTGAGACCATCCACCACAGAACTTAGCCCCCAAAATGTGCTGATTTAGGCCACTGGGAAGAGAGACCCTTTTATGTAAATAGCCAGCCTTCTTCATAATTACAGATGCTTTATAATTAAGAGTGCTCAACCCCCCCCCAAAAAAAAATTTAAAAAAAAGAGTGCTCAACCCAAACGATTCATTTAAACTGTAGTTCTGATTCATTACTCGAATTATTGTTACCATGCCGTGCCCTTTGACCTGGAAGTGAAACTCATGTCCCCTTGACACCAGAGGTTAACAGAGCAGGAAGTCCGAGCGCTGGGTCCCTGCAGTGAGCATCTTAATTTAGTAATTGTCCAACTACCAGAGGCGTCCCTGCCGCTACTAAAAATAGTATTAAAAAATTAAACCTAAGGGTTTTTTTGTGGTTCTCGTCACCCATGTGGTCTCTGTACTGAGAAGCCATGAGGAGTTCATGAGTATAAAACACAATTCTTTCTCAAGAATATGTTTTTAATGTAACATCAAATCCACTAAATGTAGAAACATTTCTAGCTTCCAGGATTCAGTTAGCAATAGAAGCAGTAAGACAATGTATAGCGGTGATCCTTTGCTCAAAAGTGGACTTTAAAAATCTAGAATTGATGGTGGACAATTTGATAGCTTTTTTTTTCCCCACCAGGAATCCTGTATTGCTTCAAATTAACAACCTTAGTGGGCTCAGCCAATTCTGATGGTTTCCATTTTTATAGCTATTTCTTCTGGGAAATGGAGTCTGGGCTTAGGGGGAGATTGTATTAAGTGAGAACCCCCCCCCCCCCACCTGTCAGCTCAAAGAATATGATGTTATTAATTTGTTCTTTGATGCTGCAAATACCTGTTGTGTGCCTGGCACTATCCTAACTCCAGGAATCGAAGGATAAATTGTCAGGTAAACAAGCCAGGTTTAATCCGTGAAAATGGTTTGCAGTGGTAAGGGGGGGGAGAGGTCACCTGGATAGGCTGGGGGGGCACAGATCTCTGGAGGAGGACACTCTGGAATTGAGACCTAAATGAGAAGAGGAATAGCCAGCTTTGTGGAGACCCGGGAGCAGACAAGGGCATAGCAAGTGCAGATGCCCTGAGGCGGGATGGACAGTGGCCATCCTCAAGGGGCAGACAGGAAGCAGGTCTGCCTTTTGGGTGTAGCAATCTATAGAAGCAGATTGCCCCACCTTTCTCCTGTGGAGCAGCTGGTGGGTTTGAACCACCAACCTTCTAGTTATCAGTAAAGCACTTTAGCCACCATGCTGTCCGAGTGCCTTATGCCAAGAACTTGTTATTGTTGTTGTTATGTGCTGTTGAGGCAGAAGCAACTCATAGCTGACCCTCCAGTGAGTTTTTAGAGGCTGTAAGTCTCACAAGAGATTGCCCATCTTTCTCCTGAGGAGCAGCTGGTGGGCTCGAGCTGCCTATTTTAGGATCACTACAACAAGAACTAGCAAGCTCAAATAGTGGTGGTGCCGAGGTGAGAACCACAGGTGTGAGGGGCCAGGTTTGCTGTCAGTGCCCGAGGCCCTCGCTGTGTAGGAGCCTCTGGAGCCGAAGCCACAGTCACTGTATTCGTGAAGCTGTCGTTTTGTCGCCCCCTCTCGGGTTGTTTTGATTTTCTGGGGTGCACCGTGGAATTCTGAGCATTAAATGCCATCTGTGGCACCACCGCTGTAAGCAAATCTCAGGGCTACACTTGGAAGAGCCGTAGAGAGCAGATAATTCCTGGGGTGGTCCCTGCTTCCTTGTCTCTGCTCACCCTCCCTGTTGCTGCCTTCTTCCTGCAGCAAGTCCAGGACCCACCTGCCCAGAAGGGCCCAGCACTCACCACCAAGGTCCGGCGCACCATGAGCAGCCGCGTGCATGAAGCTGTGAAGGCCATCGCCCTCTGCCACAATGTCACCCCCGTGTACGAGTCAAACGGTGTCACCGACCAGGCGGAGGCCGAGAAGCAGTATGAAGACTCCTGCCGGGCGTACCAGGCGTCCAGCCCGGACGAGGTGAGCACCCAGGGCCTGCATGTGAGAGATGTGGGGTCCCTGCCCGTCTCCACCCGCTGTGTGGAACGTGACAAAGAACATGTCAGGCAGGTGGTGCCGAAACACCAGGAGCCAGGATGAAACTGTGTCCTTGGGGAAACGTGTTTTCAAATACGTCATCAAAGCCTCTCCCTCCAGAGGAAGTTCCTCAGGCGTGTGAGACGTGTCCTGCGTTAGGAAGCACTAACAGGTCTTGTTTTGTAGCTGAGATGGCCCACATGCCAAGGTCACAGGTATCTCTTAAGTCACATTCTTTTTTATTTATTTAATGAAAGTTTACAGAGACTTAAGGTTACCAGTTATTCATTGTTGCACTTTTCTCCCTGCCCACCCCCACCCCCCATTAATTCTTCTCCTTGAAAAGTAAAAGAAAAACACTTTCTTTTTTTTTCTATATTTTATTAATTTTCATAAACATTTACAGAGATTTTGGGTTTCCATTCATTCATTGTTGCACTATTCTCTCTACCCTCCTCCCAGTTTGTTCTTGTCCAAATGCCACAGTGCTTCTCAAAGCCAGTTCTGATTAATCTTCTTTGTCAGTGTGTCCTTTGCCATTCCCTATCACTCCTCCCTGAGAGAGACTTCACCCTGAGTCATAAGGAAGGAAAAACACTTTCATTGTTAGCAATCCCTTCCCCCAAGTCCACTCCACTGTGCAGCCTTCTTTCTGGACTCCTGTCATGACAATAATACCTAATCATATATCCCTTTTAACAGTTCTCTCCCTCATCTGTTTGAGTGCAGAAAACATCACTCCTCCCCTCCTTCAATGTCTTCCCTCAACCCCGATGTCAGTCCTATGCAATAGTCAGTGGCCCGATGCAATATTTGTCCTTTTGTGACTGAGATATTTCACTCAGCATAATGTCCTTCATGGTCACCCATTTTGCATAATATTTCACGAGTTTCTTGTTTTTCAATGCAGCATAGTATTCCATTGTGTGAATATACCAGAGCTTCTCTATCCATTCATTTGTTGATGGTCACTTGGGTTGTTTCCAGCCCTTTGCTATTGTGAACAAAGCATGGTGTGTGCATATATTTGCTTGGGTGGTGGTTATGGCTTCTTTGAGGTGTATTCCCAGTAGTGGAACTGCGGGGTCAAATGGTATTTCTATGTTGAGAAAGCGCTATACAGCCTTCTGTAGTGATTGCACCAAGTCACATTCTTTTTTTTTTAAAATTTTATTTTATTTTATTTGTGTGTGTGTGTGTGTGTGTGTGTACTGTCAAATCAGATCTGACTGGTACAGAAGGAGATTGCCTCTCCTCCAGCAGAGTATCTGGTAGATTCGAACCACGTACCTCTGGGATTGCAGTGCAGTTTCTTGCCACTAGGCCACCAGAGCTCCACATTCTTTTTTAAAAACAACCTTGTTACTATGTCATTTACATACTACACAGCTCACTAACATAAAGTGGCCAGTCCAGGGGTTCCAGGGGCATGCAGAGATTTGTGCAGGCCTCACTGCAGTCTGCGTGAGGACCCTTTTGTCATCTGAGAAAGAAACCCTGGACACGTTTCTCCCAGATTCTCCAGTTGTGGGAGACCAACCACAAATCTACTTGCTGTCCCTCCAGTTTTGCCTCTCCTAGAAAGTTCATATAAACAGAATCGTTCCATATGTGACCGGCTTCTTTCTCTTAGCATCTTCCCAGGTCGTCCGGTTGTCGCGCTTGTCAATACTTTGTTCTTTTTCAGTCATGTAATATTCCAAAACAAACAGATTCATCCTGGAGAGGGTTAAATCAGGCTGCTCCTTGGAGGCAAGGATTCTGAGGCTTCTTCTGACACACTTTGCACATGTTTTAAGGAAGGAGAGGTCCTTGGAGAGGGACCTCATGCTTGGGAGGGTGGAGGGACGGTACAGAAGGGGAAGACCCTCTGAGGTGGATTGATTCAGTGACTGGGGTAATCGGGATGGGTGTGTCAGAGGCAGTGAGATTGGCGCAGGATAGAACAGGGTTTAGGGCTATTGTTCATAGGGTTGCTATGAGTTGCAAGCAACTCGACCACACACAACAACAACAACAACAGTATTCCATGGTAAGGGTACCCCACATTGGATTGTCCCCTCATCAACTGATGGGCATTTGGAGTGCTTTTAATTTTTTTAATTTTTGGCTCTTAAGAATAATGTGTCTATGAATGTATATGTACTTAAGTTCTTGTGTAGACCTACGTTTTTATTTCTCCCTGGTCTTTATCTAGGAGTACAGTTACTGGGTTATAGGAAATCCCTAGTGGCTGAAATGTTCTGCAAAGTAGTTGTACTCTTTTACATTGCTGTCAGCACCAACATGGGAGCTCTGGTGGCCTAGTGGTAAGAAACGGTGCTGCTAGTTCAAAGGCACGTGATTCAAATCCACCAGCTGCTCCATGGGAGAAAGATGGGCACTGTTCTGTGCCATTTACAGCCTCTGAAAATGAACCAGCGTGTCAGCTATGAGTCGTTTCTGACTTGATGGTACCTTGTAACAGCAAGTCTTTTTTGGATGAGGTGCACCCAACATGCCTTCTTAGTGGCAAGAATTATCAGACTTAGTCTGACCTACTTGGGGCATGTGAAGTCATCAAGAGCAAAGTCCCTGGAGAAAGACATCGTGCTTGGTTATCAGACAAGGAGACCTTCGGTGAGATGGACTGACACATGACTGCAGCAGTGGGCTCAGGCGCATGGCCGTGGGTGTGAGGTGCCTCGGGACTGGACGATGTTTGTTCTATTGTTCATAGAGCTGCTTTGAGTTAGTGTCCACTCAGTGACTCTGACGACAGCCAGCAGTGCAGAAGTGTTGGGTCATGTCTCCACGGCCTCCTCAACGCATGTTTTTGTCTCTCTTTCATGAAAGCCATCCTCCTGGGGGGGTGGGGTGAGGGGGTATCTCAATAAGGACGTGATTTTCATTTCCCAAATGATAATTTTTTTTAAATACTGATTTTCTAAAAAAATATTTTATTATTTTTTTGTGTGTGTACCATCAAATTGGATCTGACTGGTACAGGAGGAGATTGCCCCTCCTTCTCCAGCACAGCATCTGGTGGATTTGAACCTCCTACCTCTGGGATTGCAGTGCAGCTTCTTGCCACTAGGCCACCAGAGCTCCCTTAAATGGCCATTTTTCTGAAAGACCAAACAAGTCCATCTTGGAGGAGGTGCAATCAGGGTGCTCCGTAGGGGTGAGGATGCAGAAACTTCTTCTCACGTACTGGGGGCAAGCTGTTAGGAGGGACCAGTTTTGGAAAATGATGTCATGCTGGGAAAGGTGAAGGGTCAGAGGAGGAGGAAAACTCTGGACAAGGCGGATTGACATAGTGACTCTAACAACTGACCCGAGCAGGTCCGAGAAGGTGAGGATAGGACAGGAATGGACAAGGTTCAGATCTGTTGTTCATAGAGTCGAGTCTCTGTGAGTCACAGTCAACTTGACGGCATCGTTCACAACAGTAACGACAGCTGTGCCCTGCTTGCTGGATGTTTGTGTGTCTTTCCTAGAGAAATGCCTCTTCAGATCATTTGCCCATTTTTAATTGTGTTGCATTTTTATGGCTGACTTGTTAAGAGTTTTTTATTCTAGCCACAAGATTTGCATTTATTAAAAAACAAGGAACTCATGCAATATTATTCAAAATGGTTGACTCTGGAGAACATTATGCTGAGTGAAATATCCCAGTCACAAAAGGACAAATATTACATGATGCCACTGTTGTAGAATGGGACTGTCCTTGGGGTTGGGGAGAGACTGAGTAAGATGGGTTCAATAATGTATACTGCACTGAAACAGAGGAGGGAGAGAACCGTTTAAAAGAGAGATGTAACTGGGTATTTCTGTCATCACAGGAGACTAGAGCGAGGGCTGCATGGTGGAGGGGACCTGGGGGAGGGTTTGTAAAACAATGAAAGAATCTTTTCTTTTACTTTTCCATAATTTTTGGACTCATGTACTTATAACTTGTTAGTCAAATTTGTGTCTTCTAGGTTGCAACACCCCCATGATACATCTTGAAGGATATGTACATGTACAGCCAAGCACAATCAATAAGAGTGCATCTGAATTCCAAAATCAATCTCCATAATAGTCTATGTGTTTCCTACTGCCAAAGGGGCCCTTTAGAGTAGTGAGAGAAGATCTTCACCCTGAAACCCACAGCGTCCCTTTTCAGCAGGAAGTAGCTAAGAGAATACGCCGTCCCCTTTTCCTTATGACTCAGGGTGAAGTCTCTCTCAGGGAGGAGTGATAGGGAATGGCAAAGGATACACTGACAAAGAAGATTAATCAGAACTGGCTTTGACAAGCACTGTGGCATTTGGACAAGAACAAACTGGGAGGAGGGTAGAGAGAATAGTGCAACAATGAATGAGTGGAAGCCCAAAATCTCTGTAAATGTTTATGAAAATTAATAAAATATAATTATAGGGAAAAAAAAAAGAAACCCCCCCCCAAAAAAAAGATTTGCATTTATTTCTCCTTTGAGAATCCTCTTAGGCTCTTGAAGATGTCCTTTGAAGCACAGAAGTTTTTCATTTTTATGACGTCCAGTATGCTGCATACCTTGAAGAATTCCCCTCGTATCTAAGAATATTCTGTTAATACATCCAAGATGCCTCGTTCATCTCCAAGTTCAAGTGCCTAGTCTCATTGTCCTTCTCTTGTTCGTCTGTAATGAGCTCCTCTTTGGTGTCCTTTTCAGGATGTGACAGGCACACTCTTTCTGTGTGGATAGAGGGAATATTACCCTGCAGGAAAAGAACATCATTTTTTTTAGCTTTGTTACCCTGGTTTGTATGTTTCATCCCAGGACTTGGACCAGTTCATTCTCAACCCCAGGCTGAGAATGTGCATTTTCTCCTGGATAGACATGTATGTGTGTGAATCACATTGAGATTTTGATAAAATGTAGATTTGATCCCTTCTGTCAGCAGTGAAATGCAAACTTCTCAACCAAGGAATAGCTCTGA